GAATGCGAAGCTGGGAGGAGACAATACATGAAGAGAACTCACCATGGGTCGCGAGGCCCTCGGTGAAATGAACGAAAATGGTGAACTCTTCTCAGACTTCTGCGCCTTCAATGATTTGGTGATTGGTGGCAGTGTGTTCAAACACAGGGATATACACAAGGCAACATGGATTTCACCAGATGGACACACCAAAAACCAAATAGACTTCATTTCAATCTCAAGGAAGTGGAGACGGAGCCTACTGGACACAAGATCGGGGAAACGAGCAGATGTGGGTTCAGACCACTATCTAGTACAAGGAACTTTCAAGCTGAAAGCCCCGAGGATAGCTGGGGATAGGCCACAATGCAAGTTCAACACTCAAAAACTGAAAGACACAACCACAAAGGACACTTTCACTGCAACTGTCAGAGCAAAGCAGGAAGCACTACGTGACATCACTGAAGAATCATGAGTGGAAGACCATTGGAACTCTCTGAAGGTGATTTTCAACGAAACCTGTTCAACGGTTTTAGGAAGAAAGAAGAGACAAGACAAGGAATGGCTCTCAACGGACACTTGGAAGCTAATAGAGGAGAGGAGAATGGTGAAAGAGAAAATGATTCAATGCAAAGACGGGCAAGAGAAGGAAACGCTGAGTTCAACTTACATAGCACTGGACAAAGAAGTGAAGAAGAGTGCTAGGAAGGACAAAAGACAATTCTACGACAATCTGGCCACTGAAGCTGAGAAGGCAGCAGGCAAAAGGGACCTGAGGACATTATATCAGATAACCAAGTCTCTATCCGGGAAGAGATCGACACAATTGAAACCTATAGAAGACAGCCAAGGGAGCCCAATTACCAAGGAAGAAAGACAGATTAAACAATGGGCGGATCACTTCAAAGAACTCTTCAACCGACCACCACCTGCAACTCGTCCAGAAATACCAACAACAGCGCGTACACAACTGCAAGTTGACACCAATCCTCCAACGAAAGCTGAAGTCTTGAATGCAATCAAGCTTCTGAAAGCTGGAAAAGCAGCTGGACCAGATGGAATACCCCCGGAAGCACTGAAAGTGGACCCGGAGACGACAGCAGATATGCTGACTCCATTATTGCAAAAGGTCTGGAAGGAGGGAAAGGTGCCTACTGACTGGAGGAAAGGTTACCTCGTGAAACTACCAAAAGGGCAACTTAGGACTCTGCAAGAACTGGCGAGGAATCATGCTCCCGTCGACGCCAAGTAAAATCCTGAGTCGCATCATCCTGGAGAGAATAAACGACGCACTGGATACAGAACTCCGACAACCAGAACAAGCTGGGTTCAGGAAAGGCAAATCATGCTCTGACCAAATTGCAACTCTATGCATCATCATCACAGAACAAAGCATGGAATGGCAATCAAACCTCTACCTCAACTTCCTTCATAGACTCTGAGAAGGCCTTCGACAGCGCAGCGTTGACCGCGAAGTAATTTGGAAACTACTCGAGTACTGCGGCGTCACACAAAATCGAAGACTTACAAGCGAAAACCGACAAACTGGTCGAAGAAGCAGCAAAGACAGAACTCCAGGTGAACATAGACAAGACAGAGGTTATGAAAATAACCAACCAACCAACCAACAACAACAGCAGCAGCAACATCCAGCGCCAATCACCATCAACGGGAGGGATTTGAAAGAGGTTACTTCATTCACTCACTTATCTAGGCAACATTGTCTCAAAAACAGGAGGAACGGACGAGGATGTCAAATTGAGAATCGGGAAGGCGATAAACACATCCACCGACCTGAAACCAATCTGGAAATCTTCGTCACTCAGCATCAACAACAAAATTCGGATTTTCAATACAAACGTCAAGTCAGTCAGTTCTTCTATACGGATGGATCAGAAACTTGGCGGGTCACGGAGAATAATTCCAACGGCCTGTTGCAGACCTTTATCAACAACTGTCTTCGCTCTATACTGAAGAACAGATGGCCGGAAAGAACATGAACCAACAAGAAACTATGGGAAGAAACAAAACAAGAACCAATCGCTCAACAAATATGCAGGAGAAAGTGGAGATGGATTGGACACTCGCTGAGGAGGCCGCTGGGTGACATCGCGCGTCAGGCCAGTGCTTGAGTGGAACCCGAAAGGGAAGCGGTGAGTAGTGGGACGTCCAAGGGTGACATGGAGGAGATCGTGCGAAGAGGAATTGAAACAGTATGGATTAACATGGACGCAGGTGAAAAGTACAGCAGAAGACAGAAGCAAGTGGAGACGTGCAGTTGAAGCCCTGTGTTCCACTAGGAACCCAAGGGAACAATAATAATAATAACATAGGTGGAGACTAGGATTGTGTAATGACAAAACACAAGGTCCAACATGTTGTCACCACGTGGAGATTTCTGGACGTGTTGTTGCCATCCATAGCAATCGATGGTGGCAAGTAATTCGTGGAAGCGTTGGGGGCCGGAACTACTCAACCAGCTGACGTCTGCAAGATTGAAATCTCCTGCAATTATTTTGTAATTAGTACTAAACGAGAAGTGTGCAAACAATTTAGCTAATAACGCATCAGTTTCTTTGCTTGAGAATGGTGCTCGATAAACACAGCCTCTGAGAAATTTGTACTTATCTCCATGCAAGACGATCCAGAGGGAACCAGGTACCTAGTTCAGTATTTCATTTTCCACCTTACTGACTACGAATGAGTTAGGTATATATATATATATATATATACATATACAAATATATATATATATCACAATCTCGAACCCACCGAGTTAGAAGAAAAGGATGTCAGCAGAGACTGGAACTCAAGTGAACATGGAGGTGATGAAGATGCCCAACAACCGACAACAACAACAACGGCAATAACAAGCAGTCATCACTATCAACGCGAAAAATGTGAACGGGACTACTTCCTCATTTATTTAGTCGCCGCCATTTCGACTGCAGACATACACCACAAATGAGAACGTTAAAACCAGAATCGAAAAGATGAGACAGACCTCCATCACTCTTAAATCAGTTTGCAAATCTTCTACACTTCACAGCATACATAACAACAATTGGAATTTTAACGACACTATTGAGTCAGTCAGTTCTTCTATATCAGTCAAACACTCGGTGTGTGCGTCACGAAAAGCATTTCCACCAGCCTGCTGCAGAAAACCATCAACAGGTGTCTTCACCAGCTCCTCACGTAACATCACATGGCCAGTGTGAAGCATAAGCGAGAAAAAATTCCGGGAACGAACCAACCCAGAACCTATTGCACAACCGACAAATATTCCGAAGGAGATGGGTCAGACACACACTGAGGAGACCGTCGAATGAAAGCGCACGCCACACCACCGTTCTTGTGGAATTCGACGAGCTGCGCTTACGTCTGATGGTCACGTGGAGAGGAGATGTGACACTATGGGGAATCGTGATTCCAGATGATGATGAGAACTGAATAGAAGAGGATGGAATGCAAATGTTCAATTGGAGCCCTCTATTTTCCACTTGGAATCCAAGGGAATAATAATATAAAAATAATTTATTCCTATTTAGCTTCATCGCAAATTGTTTCCATTCAGTTTCCCACCCTATTATTAGTAACGACTTAATGTGTGATGAACAAAGAAAGTGAACTTTGTTTGGTGTGAAACAGGAATCCACAGTCTCAGTAACCAACCATCCAAGGGAGCTTCTCTTCCACTCGTTCACTCTATCTATTATGAACCAAGTTTCCGCTTAAGTTTCAATCAAAAGCCATTACATCTCAAGTGATTTCAGCTAGTTTTACCAACAACCGGTAGTAGTGGTAGTAGTAGTGTGGCGTGTGCTACTGACAAGCCTTATCGGTAGTACATTAAGAAACGTGAATCGGAACAAAATTATGAAATAGTCGAGAGACAGATTTGACATCAAAAAGAGAGAAAATGAACCAGTACTGAGCCAATGCATGGAAGACTCGAACAGAAGACCGAAAACGACACGAAAGAGGCAGTAATAGCACAACACTGAACACCTGTACAGCAAATAACCATTTTCATATAACGTGGTGTACATAATTCCCCTATATGTGTATATATAATTCCTAATAAACACACCGTTACCAAGTCTCTTGCCTTCCACCTTTACATTTGGTTTCGCTTCCTGCTGCTTTCCAAGAAGCAAGTATAAGGAGCTTCTTGCGGCTCTCCAGTGCAGTCACCGTGTTCGTAGGCATCACCATCTGACAACGAAGGTCGTTGTGCTGAGGTCGGGTGAAGGCGGTTTGAGGCAGTGTCGAGTCGCCAGGTGATAAAGAAACCTGGAAGGTATTGGCTGAAAGACTGTTGGCGGAGTTCGACCAACAGACAGCTGGCAATGCAGCACTTCCATGACACCAAGCTGGCACTCAACTGAGACCCATTCGTCTTCACGGTGAATTTGGGCAATCTACTACTTCGCCCACTCCCCATATTGCTTAAAGACACTGTCTCAGTTATTGACTTACAAATTCACCGAGAGTCTTCCAAACTAATAATGATAACATAGCTAAGAAAGAATATAAGGAATCTGTAGTTGTACCATGTTGGGAGGAGACATCTGACACCCTACGCAGGATTCCTAATAAATCGGGGATTACGGTGGCATTTAAATCCACAGACTCACTCACATACGGTAAGCTCTGTAGGTTGAAGGACTCTGTAAGTTGACCTAACCACACAAAATAATGTAATTTGCAAAATACCTTGCAATGACTGTGGAAAGGGAAACTACATAGATCGTCGCTAGAAAGATGTAGAGACTTGCTAAGTACCAGACAAGCAATCTGAATCTATGCTGAGATTTCCTATGTGATCACTTCACGTGAGCTGATGCAAGTCTCCAAATTAAGTGAAATATTCGACATACTCAACTCAATTATTCCGCCTCCTAGCAAAAGAATCACAACAAGTACTGCATAAAATTGCGCATTTCATTTAGCAGCATAACAATCAAAAATCAACACTTGAGTAGGAGAAAAATATAATATTATAAAATGCTGAATGCATAAGATACAACAAAGGTGTTTGTGTATTCGCAACCAGCATACATACAAATGTCAGCGCCTCCTTTTGCGTGAATTGCCAACACCTACAGCAGGAGTGACTGCTGAATTAGTCGGTGTTTGAACCAAAACATTATCTGAAGTTGTATGAATGTCAGACCAACGTACCGACTTTCTTGTTCGTTTTCGATTAGAAGTATCTAAATGGAAAAATCATAGATGAAGTGTATGACTTCGCACGAAAATAATTTGCATGCATCAACAGAGTATAGAAGATGCCTCAAATTACAATGGGTTTCCGTCTCATGGGTAAATCTAGTAAAAATAAATAATCGATTGTGAAGTAAACCTAAGTTGTCAGACTGAAGTCTTCTGCTGCACCTTGCACATTATTGCAAGTGGACACCTTTCGCCTAAATCTGCATCATAGGTGTGTGACTTTAATGAGACGATATTTCATGCTGTGATATGACCTCAAGATCCATCAAACTGTGATCCTCCTCAAAACATCCAACTACGGACATTAGTGGGTCATACTTTCAGTTGCAATTCACACCCACTTAAGCTTAAATAACCACACACACACACACAAACACACCAGGAATGCATCTCACGACCGCTTTTGTCCGATACAGTATCAATTACATACGAGAGAGACGACAGTGACTACTACTTTCCAAGCAAATGCAAAAACATCACAATATTCATAAGAAGTGTCTCTTTCCAGTATTCATGATCAGTCCCTTAACTGATTTCATAGAAAGATCTGAATGCTGTTGTGACTTGTGCGAAGTCTTGCAAATATTCCAATCAAAACTGTCTCCTAGTCTACGAAATTCACCCAACAGAATGATAACTCACATTCTTGAAAATTCACATCTTCCTAAGTTATATATATATATATCCCTTTAAGAATAGTTGGCGTTTTGTCACATAAATACCAAAAATATGACTGGAGTGTTAGTTGTAATATTGGGCTGATAGCTTACCTACAACTGAAGATTTGGGTATAACTGTATCGCTCCGATGACCAACACGAGGAAACTCCAATTCTTTCAAGGAATCAAACTCGTCGGGTAGACTGAATTCCTTCGTCTTACCTTGAAACGGGTTAACTTCTGACTCATGCTTCACAGAAACGTTTCAATATTTTAAGAAATAGAAATTACCAGTTCTTCCATATTGAAAAGTGTATCCAGCTTCTTCCAAATATCATCAGGAGTGACTGGTTTACGAAGAACTGAATTCATATAATTGCACAAGCACATCATTTCAAAGTGGCAAAACACCCCAACGGGTTTGTGCTTAATTAATCCTTGGAAAAGTTGAATTTTCGATTCACAGGTCCATTCATATGAATCGGTCCTGTCAGCAGCCATGTGTATTTAATTCTAGGGCACTGAAAATCAAAAATTAAAAGTATTAGAAGTAGGCGGATCGCAAGAGTCTTATATAAGAAATACTACAGAAATAATTCTCTCTTGGCTGAACAGCTTATCAGGAAGCACACGAGTGAAACAATGAGACCAAAATTATCATTCACAATACTACCACTGGTCAGAAATATCTTACACAACCAGAAGAACCCGCCCTACAGATAAATTAGAGGGAGAATTTCTGATTCCCTGAAAGATGCTAAAAGACAATGGCTACATTCCGAAATCCACTAGTAGGTAGGGAAGATGCAGTTCACTGGTCTAAACACTCAGTCTGCAGTCAGTGAATCCCGACTTTCAGTCCCAATTCACCCACTTCAGCCTAGATAACTGGATATTACCACTAGCCTTTACACAGTACGTGTACTTCACAGCCCAATACTGCATATTTGAGTGGTAACTAACAAGCGGTAGCAGTTTTGTTGCTCTATTTTGACCAAACTAGCGTTTGTAATTGTGTCCTAACGTTGTGATTACTCGACATCCAAAACGTAAATCAAAAGGCACTTGCGAAGGAATACGATTGTGTATTACCGCAGTAATCAAAATTCAATAATTGTGCGAGTACAAAAGTATCAATTGTTAACACGCAATCTTTAGAGTGATAAACAAGCCAAAGTCCAATTACATAGTGAAAATATACTACGATGATGAGTAATAAAATGGGTCACTGCACTATGTCTCAGCGTATCAGATATTTTCAATAACACCATTACCAGGCATCTCATCGATCCGAGGTATGAGGTAGCTACCATGAAGTCACTTGAAATTATCAATGGACAAAATAATTCAGCTCTCTCCGAGTTCACCGAAGCAATCGCTACCAAACAGTTGAATCCCAATTTATATTTTCAGAAAGGTACAGTCACCAGTCTTTCCTATACTCTCTTTTATTTGATTTCGTGATCCTCGGCTTTAACACATATCTCTTCGCTATAATGTAATTTTATCTTCCTGTCATTTGCACGGTGCCAGTTAAACTCACCATTCACTCACTTATTGTTATCACCGTATCAACCTTTAAGCTTTATCAAACCAATGTAAGCCTTTCTTCGCTTAAGTTTGAGCCTCCTGTTTATGTTACGTGAGTGTAAATTCTGAGCACTGTGAATTGAGTTCGCAGTCTCTTGTCGACCGACGTCATGTAACACTTACAGGTGCGTAAACACCATTCCTTACATAAATTTAACTTTAGGATATACACAGCTGGGCACATTCTGTGTGGCTGTGTTCCGGCTGAGTCCTTCCTCAAAAGGCTTCCTTCAACATTCACACCGTCTATCACGAGAGGTAATTAAAGTGCAGTTCTCAGTATTATGACATGAGTAAAAGATCACAGTCCTTTTACGTAAGTAATTTGGCCTAAGCTTGACTGTTATGTTTTATTTATCCGTCGTTAGACAGTGACGGCTGTGACATAAATAAAATGAGGGCGATACGTAAACGTCACAGAACGATAAAACTATGTCCGAGATAACATAAAAGTGTCAGAATCATACTTCAAAACGAAACACCTTTCGGAACTACTGGAACGTACTATTCAACAAAATGAACACCCAGTCCAACATGTAAATTAATGAATGAATGAATGAAAGTTTGCAAATGTCATGGATGAAATCAAACAAGAAAATGCTGCCTTCGAAAACCAGTCAGAAATATGTGACCTTCAACTAGTACCACAAATAAACTTAAAGTATCTTATTCTCAAGTCTTATTGTCTGTTTACCGTCAAAAATAAATTTGGTCCAGTTTCTATAACCAATATATATGCATATTTGGTCAGCATAAATCAATTGAATTTATTAGGTCACAACAGTGGTTTATGGGCACTGAAATATATTCTATTATTCACCTACTTGAAATTATAATGTTGTGTTCGTTAGTCATTGTTAAAACCATTACATGACGTTACGAAATACTCCTGCAGCCTCAAATTCACGAAATGCGTCATCTATATTGTCTGATGTAATGGCCATATTCCAAAGAATAATGCTTAATTGTGTATTTTATACGTGGGTGCAACTTAAGCAAGCTCATCCAATATCCAATATCTTTTTACGAGCTAGTATAAACCAATTTGATTTCTTTGCGCTCGCCTCTTGATTGTAAGGTAGAGGTTCCTGATCTTTGGTAAACGTCTGTGTAGCTCGTCCCGCCACTCGACTGCCGTAGCTTTGGTTGACTCCAACAGGAGTAGTGCTGGGATTAATTATATGGCGTCTGTAGTATGAAGTGTGTTAAGACTGTTACTACTGTGAATGGAGTTGATCCTTTCACCAGTTAGTCTTTCGGTATCGTCGTCAATGGAAAAGAGATAATAATAATAATAATAGATATAATTAGTAAAGGTATTCAGACTAACAGACAGAGAAAAAAAAATAAGAAAACGTAACAACAGTCAGTCAACCGGTATACATATATATATATAATATATACCAGTAATAATGATAATAATAATAATAACAATAATAATAAGTGTAGTTAAAGCTGTCAGGAGAGTAAGACTGAAGGGAATGTGAAGAAGTAAAACGACCAGTTTAATTGTCTATCTTTGAATGGTATATGCGATTTTAAGGGGATAGGCCATTTGGATACAGTCCTTGTGTCACTGCAAGGTTGTCCAGCCTTCGCTTAAAGGCGTCCACAGATGGTGCCATAGCTACATCTGCCGGTAAGGAATTCCAGGGACGGCAAACCCGCAGGGAAAAGAAGTGGGAGCGCACCCGGGTCCTTGCCCTCTGATGAGCTATCCTTCTGGGATTTCCACGAGGGAGCCTATACCTACTCAATGGCAGAACACCTTTGTTCAGGTGATTCTGATCATTTGTTATTTTGTAGGCAGTAATTAAATCCCCCCTCAGGCGACGGTAACTGAGTGTGAATAGGCCTAATTTCTTCAGCCTTTCGTCATATGGCTTATTTCGGAGACCAACCACTCCTTTTGTTGCCCGTCGTTGAGCTCTTTCCAAGAGGTTGGCGTCTCTTTTAAGCAGTGGGGGTGCAATGATATTATGCACTTCAAGATGCGGTCTGACGTATGTTTTATACAACCTTAGAAAGAGCTCAGGAGTGAGTGCACCTAATTGTCTATGTGTAAAGTGTATGACCGCATATGCCCTCGCTACATCCCCCGTGTAATTCACGCTTGTGTCCATTTTCTCCGTTAGAACTAGACCTAAGTCACGTTCCGACGTTGAGCAGGACAAGCTTTCATTGCACAGGGTGTAACTTGCATTCTGCAGTCTACAGGTGCGTAACTTCACTACTTTGCACTTTTTCAGGTTGAAAGTCATTCCACTGGTTACCGCCCAGTCTTCCAGAAGCCTTAGATCTGACTGCAGCCTATCTGAGTCCTCCGGACACTTTACCGCCCTCCATATCTTTACGTCATCAGCGTATAGAAGAGTCGGGCAGTTTAGACGGCATGGTAAATCATTGATAAAAATCAAGAACATCAGTGGTCCCAGGATAGAACCCTGCGACACTCCTGATGACGAGCTGTGCCAAGATGATCGGACTCGATTGACCTTGGTGCAAAATTGCCTTTCAGTTAGGTAGTCCTTCAACCATGACAGAAGTGGTTTACCTAGACCTACCTGGCTTATTTTGTGTAGGAGAAGGTCATGGTGAACAGTGTCAAATGCCTTCTCAAAGTCTAGAAAGATCACGTGGACAGGAACATTCATATCCCAGCATGATGTCCAATCGTCCCAAGCTGATAATAAGTTAGTGACGCAGGATCTTCCTTTCCTGAAACCGTGTTGGGCTTCATGGAGTATTTTAGACCTATCCAGATATTCCCTGATGTGATCATCAATAATACTTTCCAGTACTTTCGATACCACTGGGAGTAGAGCTACTGGTCTATAACTGGTGGGATTTTGCCTATCCCTACCCTTGAAGATCGGAGAAAGGATGCTTCTTTTCCATTCCTTTGGCAGTTTCCCCGATTCCATGGAGTGTTGGAACAAGTCGCATAAAGGCCTACAGAGAGCTTCGGCGCACTGTTTCAGAACAGATGGCCTGATGTCATCACAACCTGGGGACTTCCCAGGTATAAGTCGCTGCAGCTTTCTCAGTACTATTGCAGGGTTTATTTGAGGGGTGGCTATTTGGTCTTCCTCCTGTGAAATAGTCATGCCACCATTTTGGTTCGTAACGGTAATACCCACATTGCTGTTTAGCTGTTTGGCGAAGGCTAAACTGAATGTTTCAGCCATCTCCAGACTAGTGAGATATTGACCGTTTTGGCCTACTAAGGCGCAAGCCCCTTGGCTGGTTGGTTTCCTTTCCGACATGAATCGGTACAAATTCTTCGGGTTTGCCAGGAGTTTTTTAGCAAGGTTAGCCTGGAATGACCTTCTGTCCCTCCTGACTCTTGCATTGCACCGGTTCCTGAGTTCCAGGTATGCATCATGGTCGATCTGGCTTCTAGATACGCGCCACGTAAACCAAGCCTTCCTCTTTGCTTGCAGAATACGCTGCGTGCCTCTCTTTAACCATGATGATTTTCTTTTTGGCTGTGCTGTGACTAAAGGGACGGTATCCGAGATCGCTGTATGAATAATCTTTTTTACCGCTTCCCAGTGTTCATCCACAGACAGCTCATCCCATGCTAAGGGCCAGTCTGCATCGAACAAGAGCCTCCGCATTTCAGCGTAGTCAGCCTTGCTGTAACACAGACATGGTTGCGTAGCGTCCCACTGCAAGTGCTCACGGAGAACGAGGTCGAAACCTATGACTGCATGGTCACTACTTCCTAGAGGAGTCATGACCTGGACCTTTTCGACGAGTAGTTGGTCACTAGTTAGAATGTAGTCTAGTTTTGATGACTTTCCACCAGGGCCCCACCTAGTGTCGTCTCCAACATTCTCAGTCAGTCCCGTGTCCCGAATAGCTTGCAGTAGATTTCGGCCGAATTTTCCCTTAGCATACCCCGAGCCAAGGTTCAGTGATAGGGCATTGAAATCTCCAGCAATGGTGATTTGGTCATAGCCCAAGTCTCGTATCCCTGTGATAGTGCTGAGCAGTAGCTGATTGTGCTCTGCCTGACATGTGGGAGATCGGTAGATGCCACCAAGTAAATGCTTGGTGTGGCCTACGGTGAAATGACACCATATGGAGTCTGGGAGTTCAATAAGTGGTGGGTCCGTTGCGCGAACACATTTAAGTTGCCTATCAAAGTATATGGCAACTCCCCCTCCTTCCTTATTGTCCCTGTCTCTCCTGACCAAAACCATATCACCTATACTGATTTCATTATCGGCGATAGTGGGGGTTAGCCATGTTTCGGTGAGAATGATTATTTTCAGTTGTAGGTGTGCTTGGAGATTTCGGAGTTCACCTATTTTTACTCTCAGCCCCCTCACATTGCAATACAGGCAGCTGACAGTGAGTCTTACAACCTCAGCGTGTTGTGGGGTAGTTGACGTGAAGCTATCTGCTGGTAGGGAACTTAGTGTTGGGACTAATTGGCCAGTTCCGATGGAACCGGCCCATTGTGGTTTTTTCCCTTGGATTTAGGCAGGACACTTGGGTGGCACAGACTGTTATTCTCAGAACTGCATCGCTCGAGTGTCACTGAAGCTTGGGGACGTATTAAAGCCTCAGTTTGCTGCCTCCTTATGGTTCGAGGTCTGCTTTCGCAACATCGGATGTGTCCTCCCAATTTCCCCTTGATCTCATACCACCGTTGAAGTGTTATGGCCAACTGCTCTGGGGAGTTGAATGTGACACTAAGCAGCCTTGGGGAGCTAATCAGTGTGAGATGAGCGGGGCGAGGTAGTCGGTAAACGGAGATGGCTCCAGAAGCGCCAAGGGCCATCTGAGACGACAGCCATCTCCACTGCTGTACGTCATGCATGTGTTTTTCACAGGCAGTGCCCGTTTCCAGCTCCGGAACACCGTGCACTACCAAAGAGGTGGAAGGCAAAAGTTCCGGTGACTCCCTTGCCATTTGTCTGACAGCCCATGGTCTGTCTTGTCTCACCCTTATGTTAGAGCTTCTGTCGATGGCTAGTACCTGAGCCATCAATAGTACCTTTTCGGCCTCTTCGGCAGAGTCCAGTGTAACCCGTAATGGGGGTGGCTTACCTTGAGGTGTGTGGACACCCCTGTACAGCCTGCACAATTTCACTGAACTAATATTCAGACCTAGTTTATTGCACAGGTTGGACCACTGTTCCTGATCAAACAGGGCCCGCTGTTCAAGCAAGCTGTCCTTGCTCACAGGTACGTTAAAGAGGATGAGCGAATTAGACCGATTAACCTCAGACTTAGGTTTGGCCTTTGGCTTCTCATATTCCTTTGCAGCATCAGCAAGTTTAGGCTTCATCGGGTTCTGACCAGCCTTTATTGTGTTGCCAAGCTTGCTTGTGGATGCAAGTGGTGCTTCTCTAACTCTATCTTTCCTTGATTTTTTAGGTCCAGCCTTATGAATCTTCACCTTGTGAAAATTGGCATTTTCGGTCAGTAGGACAGGAGTGTCCTTCTTACTGTGTGTGCCAAGTTTTGGCAATGTGACGTTAGCAGGTGGGGAGCTACATAAGACCGTGTTGGGACACAAGGGCGGCGTGTTGTTTCTGCTAACCGCAGACACGCTCTGTGTGACTACACCAGGGCGACAGAGTGAACAGATGTACCAAAACCACGGGCATGGGTTA